GGTTCTATAATCGAAACACTGTATCATCTTCAGCTCTGAGATACCGGCCGGCTGAAAGCTGGTTTCTGGGGTTTTGTTTAGCTTCTATATTTGTTACAATGTTTCAAACTGCCAGCTCAGAGGCAGGCAAGGCAGGCGGCAAATGTTGGAGTCCTCCTTCACTGAAGCAAGCAAGCCTCATGTTTGCTTCCAGCTGCCTGGCTGCCGGCCTCCATCTTGGCTGGCAGTTAATTTGCATATCGCCCTGATTAGCCAATGGGAAGGGTAGTGGTCGTACGCTAATTACCATGTTTCTCTTTTATTAGATAGGATATTGAAATCACTTTTTAAATTATAATAAATGCTTTTACCTACCAGACTGTAAGCACTCTGAGAAATGAGTGTTGAACATTGTATTCCCAGTGGCTAATACTAGTCATTCATTCATTCTTTCTAGGTGATGTATCTCTAAAAATTAGAACTCTATCTGCTGTAAAGTTCTCAAAATATTTTGAATGAATAAAAGTTTGAAGTAGCTTTTCACTCTATTTTACAGAATAGGAATCTGGAGTTAGAGATGTTAAGCACCTGCTCAAGGTCACAAATTAATTTACATATATAAAAGCCTAAGCGAAAATCTGATCCTTCAACCATCCAACCGGTAGCTATGATGTGCACTGACCACCAGGGGGCAGACACTCAACGCAGGAGATGCCAAGCTGCAGTGACTTGGCAGCTGTGGTTCTCCGGTGATGCACCCAGAACCAGAGAGGAGGGAGCCCAATTCTGGAGTGTATCACCCAAGAACCAGCCTCTCGTAATCCTGGACCCCTTGGGGGATGTCAGAGAGTTGTTTTTGGCCTTATCCCCACAGGCCAGGCCAGGCCAGGGGATTCCACTGGTGCAGAATCCATGCACCAGGCCTCTAGTTAGTAATAAGGCCAGAATTTAAACTTATGTTTGCCTAATTACAAAGCCTATATTCTCTATATACAACATTATATAAGATGTATACAATGAGTCTTTATGTAACAACAATGAAAGAGCAGAAAAATTAGGACAATTTGTGGTACACTGTTCTCTTATGATTTTTTCCAAAATTAATGTACTTATTGAATTTTTGAAGTGTGTCCTGTGTAAGTACCAAGTATTAACAGCCACAACTAGTATCAGTAACAAGAAATGTTATATATATTTTCTCAAAAGCTATATTCCTATAACCTGTGTAATTTTAAAAGGCGTTATTTCCCATAGCTATATTTAATTACATATTACATAGGTAAAAATCAGAATTAGGTTTAATGGAAGGGATAAGCCATAGAAAGAATTAAATTTTTCACCTTTTTCAAAAATATTCTATCTTTTTTTTAAGACTGTATTATCAGCATGGTATAATGAAGAAATAATGTATGTTGGAATCAGTCAGATTTCACTCTGACACTTACTGTTTACACAATGTATCCTCAGGCATGTTACACTGTTTTCTTTTACAAAATGGGGTTAGCAATAACAATTCCTGGGCTGTTGGTTAGAATGTAGGAAATACTTACATGTGGCTAGCCTAGTACATCATACTCAATACTAAATAATAATACATAATATATTATAGTCTCTTTCAGGTTTATACTCTTCTAGCCCAGGAGCCCTATAATGTTCCTACCTTGCTATTTATTTTAACTTGAATCTCCACATACTTAATCATGAAGGTCAAATTCACATATATAGAATGTGAACTAATATTTTCAAACCTATGAAAACTGGATTTTGAGACTTCAGTAATAAGTTACTTAGAAATATCTATTTTTTGGTCAAGGAGGAAGAAAAAGAAAGAAAATTCTTAGGGCTTAAATGAGCTGAGACAGGAAAGAAACATAAATTGGATCTGAAAACTACCTCATTGGGAAACATTCTTCTAAGCTTTGTATACTGGATAAATATAAGTACTATACCAACCATGATTGCCCTTGAGAGAGAGGGAAAATTGTTGTAATTTACATAATAGCATACATATAACCTGGCAATAAATTTTAAGTGAAAGATATAATAGATAAATTGAGCACACTACCTGCAAAAATAGAAGAATTTTAACAGTCCATTAATCCATAATAAATATTTGATGAGCTTGAAGTAACTACAGAAATAAAATATAGTTTTCTTGCTGTAATTGTAGTGTGATAAAATGTAAGCCATTTTAGTTCATAATTTTTCTTTTTTTCAGAGTAAATCGGGTAATCTTTTCAAGTGTCCTGCAATTTGTGGCCCAAGGAAGATCAAAAGTTAAATTATATTTATGTACAATCAAGAAAGAAAATATTATTTATAACATTAAAACCTTTGCCTAATACTCCATAAAAATTCATAATGCTATTTTATTAGAACAAGGATCCAGAAAAGAAAATGAAATATTTAATTTAAACTCTTAAATTAATGCTAATACAGAAGGACAAGGGCAATGTTAAATTTATTTTAAGAACTTTGGTTTTGTTTTATTTTTAGGGGTAAAATATATTATCATTAGACATCATTTCTCTATCTCCACCAGGTACCAGGATAGAATATGGAAGAATTATAGATACAGTATTTTCCACCATTAGTGGAAAAAATTAGGGGCCCTATATTTAAATTTTCTGATGACCCTAGATTTAATTTTTGATGGAACTCTTTATAAATAGTATGGCACATTTGACTACACTAATAAACAGAGAAGAGCCAAATATAACTTTAACATTTCTTTGCTAACAAGCGTTTGGTTGTTGTTCTTTTTTTTCTGAAATTCAGTTATTGTGTTCTATTGGAATGCTGTGATAATCCCAGGAGTTATTCAGGTGATGAACCCTGGTTTGTTTGTTTTTTTGTTTGTTTTTTTGTTTTGTTTTGTTTTTGGGGGGAGGAGTTTGCTGCATTAATGGCTTTCTGGCTGTTGTGCATTTTTCAATGAGGATTCTCCTGACTTCTTGGTCTTTTGAACTTAGAGGATCAAGAGATCATGTTACAAACCAAGAATCTGTAACCAGAGAAGCTGTGTGATTTATCAAAGGTCACACTGCTTTGATAACAAAACAGGAATAAAACATTAGTAACTTATTTTCTTACACGTGTCCCTTCAGTTAATGCCTTTGTTCTTTTTAGTGACTTGCCCTTTGAGCTTCCAAGTTTTTTTCTTTATATAATTTTACTCTGGGTCCTATAAACGAATTCAGACTATGAGGTTACCAGGAGAAATGATGTAACTCAGTAGTATGTAAAAAAATAAATCAGAAATGATATGCAATTATTTAAAAACATATTATACACATATATGTTTCTCATGACCACTGTGGGTAGAGGGGTATGACTCATTTTGTTAAAGATTGAAGATACACAGGATTTTAGATTATCTTATTCATTTTGTAGGGTGTTTGTTTGTTTGTTTACCCTTTGGGAGCTAATTTTCAGATTTTTTTTTACTTTTTTTTTAGAATTAGAATCTAAGAAATTAAAAAAAAATCTTAAAGGTCAAATAGAAAATATTCTAACCAGTAAAATACCCACCAAATATCAGAAATTTCCAAATGCTGGGGCAGTTTTTTTCTTGTAAAGCTTGTGATGTTGGTTTATATGCTTCTAAGTTTACAGGAGAGAGACTTAAAAATGTGTATTAGCCAGTTATACAGTCAGTCCTAGGTTTATGTCTGACTCGATGTACATCGTTTTGTGATTATGTCGCCATCTCCCATTTATTTATAAAAAAAAAAGTTACGTCATTTCGACATATGTACATATGTGCTTTATGTTTTTTATTATTTATTTACCACAAGTAAAGGTCAGGAATTGTTATCTTTCTTTTAAATGTTTTTTACTGTTTTCACTTCATTACTGCTGTGTCTGTGCTCCATGTGAGTGACGTAGGTGCTTATGTAGGTGGGTTCCCACTTACAGCAAAAATCACGTTATGTCGGGCTGTAGGAACGGATCTCCGACGTAACCCGGGGACCTACTGTAAATGCAAAATTATGGGAAGTTGCTTTTTTTGAAAATTAGATTTCATCATATCTTAGAGTCTGCATTTAGTTGTTTACTCATTGAACCATAATTTGTAGATACTAGTACTTTGTTGCATGTCTACTGTTCAGCTTCTAAACATCAGATATACTTATCAAAGGAAGAAAACATATTTGGGCAACATTCATGTTGATTCTTGAAACATAAATGTAAGTTTTCATTATCTTGTCAGTTAACAAAAGAAAACTCTCTTAGAAGTATTGATTAAATCACACGTTGGGCATTTTCATTTTTCTTGCCAATACTTTTTTTTTATGTCGGAAGATTTGTTGGTTTGCTGTATGATATAGTCTATCCTTTGATATAGTCTTACATCTCTATATATCAGTGATTGCCTCCTTCTTACATCTATCTTTGAATAACACTTAGGCTCTAATCATACTTTTCAGTATTCAAAAAGTTAAATTTATTCTAAAATGTATATAACAACTAAACTAATTTTATTGAGTTGTGTTGTTTTGTTTTTACTTTCAACTTATGATGTTGACAGTTCTCAGAGGCAAAGTTAGATCTAACTCTCCTACTTTGGCTCTCTGTATTCAGAAAAGGCCTTTTTTCTCTTAAAACATATGCACATGACTTTGTAGCACTGGAGCATAGAGCTTCATCCAGCTGTTTCTCTCTGAGAGGAGGCTGAGTCCCTTGGTGCAGACAGCTGACATCTCTTCCTTTTACTCACAATACCATGAATCCAAAAAGTCCTTCATCAGATGATTCTCCTTGGTTTTCAGTCACTGGAAAGTGCTCATTTAAAGGATATTAAAAGTACGTGTATCCTATGTCCTCAAGAAGTCACTGTCACTATATGTGTTTATCTAATGTTTCCTCTGTATCGTTTGTGGAAAAATAGGAGTGGAGCTCTGATTAAATTAGCAAATGAGATACCAATGAAGTCAAGCACAGTCTATATCATCTTTCCTGTTGGATGTGTTTATATCTTTCACAGAATTCCCAACTTGTGAGCCACTAACTCAATTTATATGCAAAAGTGGAAGGTGCATTAGCAGCAAATGGCACTGCGACTCTGGCAAGTACCGAATGTTCACTGTGCTGCACTGATTTGATTGGGGGCCTGGCTGTCTGTGCTGCTTCGCCTCCTTCAGAGCGGTTTGCAGAGAGGCGTGCAGAGTCAAGCACAATGGCTGGAATGAGTGGTGAGAGGGCAGCTGGTACACGGATAGGGATTAGCATTAAGGATAATGGAGCTCACTATCTGTCCCATGGGGCTGTGATAGGCATTTGTTTTCAGTTACTATGCCAGACACAGTCTAAGTCTGCAAACATGAAGTAAAAAGGGGACAATTGAAGAAATGACCTGGACAAATCAGGTTCCCCAAGGTATATATAAAAAATGCTCTGTAACCCAGGATGGAGTAGTGTATAAATTCTTATATAATTATCCAGATGGTCTCAATTCTGTCACCTTGCTTTTTTATGTGCAAATGATGTGGGCTTTTTCTTATACTCATTTGTATTATCACCCTAAATTATGCCAAATACAGATAAATGAATTAGATATAATCGATGCATTCCCAGCTATTGATTTCAATGTAACCTGTTTTCACGTTATATTTCTCTCCCTTCTCTTTCGTAATAGTTGTTAATAAAAAAATATAAATTATTGCTAATGTAGTGTACAACAATTTCCCAGTGTAAATACACACTTAGGAGCTAGTGAGGGGGTGGGGGGGGGGGCGAGGGTTACACAGTGGCCCTCAGGTTGGAGAATGGGGAATGAGGGATTGAATGGAAGATATAAATTCTGATGCATGGATATGGTAGTCAAAATAACTTTCCACAATAATTATGTTGCTAACTATATCATTTCATGAAATTCCTACAGTCACCATTGTTGTCCCACTTCATAATTATATCATGCTGCTTAGATTTATTCAGTAAGTGGTTGATCAGTTCTGAGTGAAATAGAAATTAAGCTTCAATATTCAAAGTCAGGATTTTTTCCTCTTAATTTAGTAGTTGTATCAAATCATAAGTGAAGCAATATAAAACAGAAAGTAATTTCCCACTGTTCATGGGAACTGCTGACCACTGATTTGATGTGCTTTTTTCAATAACAAAACAAAGCTATGAGGGGAAAAAAGCACTTAGATATTTCGTAATAAAACGTCTCTCCCTGGATCAGTTTTCACTGGGTTTACATTGACGTTTCTCTCCAGATGATGACTGTGGGGACGGGAGTGATGAAGTCGGCTGTGTTCACTCTTGCCTTGATCATCAGTTCAGATGTTCCAGCGGCAGATGCATCCCAGGCCATTGGGCCTGCGATGGTGACAATGACTGTGGAGACTTCAGTGATGAAACCCAAAGCAATTGTACCAAGGAAGGTTAGTCATTTTATGAATCTATGCAATCTCATTCTTAAGTTATATCATGTTTGGAGTATTTCAGAGTGAATAGTATGTAAAAACTAGTGACCTGGTGCATGGATTCGTGTACATTGAAAGGAAATTAATTAGAAGGTGCTGGCAGGGTGGGACTGGGGTCCCTTGGCCTGGCCTGCAGGGATCGGGCTGAAATCAGCTCTCTGATATCCCCCGAGGGGTCCCTGATTGCAAGAGGGCACTCTGCAAAGTTGCTGTCAAACAGGGTGTGGAATGCAAACACAAGTGTGCAATAAACCAGATTCGGGGCTGACAGTGCCCCAGCAACAACATAACCTACGGCTAAAGGTGGAGTTGTGCAGCCCTGCAAGGAATCAGGCTCCCTCCTCTTTGGTTTCAGGGTGTGTCACCCAAAAACTGCCACTGCAAGTCACTGTAGCTTGACAGCTCTTGCATTGAGCATCTGCCCTCTGGTGGTCACTGTGCATCATAGCGACCAGTCAGACGGTTGGACACTTAGAATGTTAGCCTTTTATATATATAGATACATTGCTTATCAGAAAAAAAAATATATGTATATAAAATTGTGTAAAATAATGTGCTGATCTCTTTTCTTTCACTCTTTCCTTTCTCTGGTTTCTCACCTTAATTCCTCCTTATACTTTAATACCTTTTTCTCTGTTTTTTACTTCCTACTTTCATTAAATGCTTTAGTTTCATTAGATGCTTTACTTACTATATTTTAACCCCCATCTAACTTCTAAATGACCAAACCCCAAATCCATCCCAAAAGGAAAAAAAAAAGAAAAGGAAGAAAACAAGAAAGGCATAATTTTCCTTTTATTTCCACGCCACATTTGTTTCCTTAAGGTTTAAAATAATTCCCTATTAAAGGGTGATATAGTCCAACTGATGGACTTTCTGGAAAGCTAGCTAATGGAGGAGGATATCATGATCATGACTTTCAGCATATCCATGGGCAATTGGGTCTTGTCATTTGCATGAGTTACTTTGTAAATGCGATGAACAATAAGGAAATATTAATAAATTAGAAATCATGTACAAATAGAACAGGAAAAAACTATTAGGCTGTCAAACATTTATATAATCAGTAACATTTGAAAGTAGAACGCTATTCATCCTTTCATTTATTCCACAAATATCTACTGAGAACTTATGTGCCAGGTACTGTGCTTGGACTGAAAGGGTAGGTAAAAAGATAAGAAAGCATGGTCTCTGTTCTGTTTTAAATTTCTAACAGGCAAACAGACAAATAATAAAGTGATTTATTTAAATGGTAGTGTTAGGGGAACCCTATACTATGTGATCATAAGAAAGCAATCATTTTCACAGTCTTTTTCCAAGGAGATATATCAGTCTTTTGTAAATATTTAACAACCTATAAAATAGAAAGTTTCTGAAGTATTTTCTTTGATATGATTCCTTTTGTTTTCTCTTCTCTCTCCTCTCTTTAACTCTCCCTCCAACCCTCCCTCCTTCTCCTCATTATTTCACTCTGGTTTCCTTTTACCTCTCAATTTAGTTGGTTCACTAGTATATATGAGCTATGCTTTTTAAAAAATGTCACATGGAAAAAGTGAATGAAAATATGTTTTTCAATTTTTCTTTGTATATTTGAAACATTCATCTGAGATGTGGTTGACATTTCATTGCTAAATTACATTTTGAATATAAACTGCCTTTTCCCCTACCTCACAGATGTCTTTTAAAGATCCTCATGAGGTGTACATCTGTGGCTGCTGGCACTGCCCCATAATATTCTGTAAAAGATAAATTGCCCCAACGTTAATTTACTTTCATCTCAGACTTAAAATCCCATCCGTCTCTTCAATGTCTATTTATCTTTAAGTTAGAATGCTCATTGCACATTAAGAAGTTTTGGAAAGATTGTTTTAGCCTCATGAGTCTCTGAAGTGGGTGGCACACCCCCTGGAGACTCTTCAGAGTTTTTGGGGGGGTTGAATTATTGTGGAATCAGTGACTATTCAATGTTAATGGCCTTCATCTGTAGAGCACTGCAATTTCACTAATAGTTCACTGTAAATGATGTACTATCCATGTGAATGCCATGCATTTTTGTATGATTATGGAAATTCACTAAGGAAATGACCCAGATAATCTACTTGATTCTTGAACATGTTTCAAGCAGAGGATGAGGAGGACTTCCGGAATTAATTTATATTTATCAGGTTACAAGTGGTACTAGGATTCCCTAGTCAAATACTATCCTTGGTAAATACAGGTTATGTAATTGAAGGAAAGTAAGAAGCTGGGATCACTTTGGCGCAGGACAATCCAGAGTATTTCAAAAGGCACTTCAATACTTTTATCCATCATTATTGCGACGGTGTATGCTGACACAGACATTGTAAAATGTCTATGACGCATAGGCATGCTCAAGGGGATCAGAAAGCCATTTTGTACATGCAGGGTTTGTGAGGCCTTGCCAAGGTAAAGTAGTAAGTTGATGCAATTAGTCATGTAATCCAGTCCCCAAACCTCAGGCGGAAGAAAGAGCAGGGCATTCTGGCTTGAATTTCAAGAGTGGCTGTCAAAACTGATCAAATCCACTGCGTCATTGCTCAGCACCTTGCTTTACACTGCCTGGGGAAGCAGAGCATATGGTGTAGTTTTTCTCAACTCACATTGTTTTTAAAACACACATGAATTAACTTTTAATAGTAAGGGAGCAGGAGAAACCAGGACATGGAACATTCTGGATATAATTTCCACTTCAGAAAATTTTGGAACTGAAGTTTGATTCATATTCTCTCTAAACTTCTTTCAAACAAAAGAATTTCTATAGTGATGATCACTGTTTTCATCATCAACATGGTGAAGAAATGAAAAAAGTTCCCTTCTAAATTAATGTATACTTATCTCTTCCCCTTAAGGTTGTGCTGCTCTTTCCTCTCACTTCCAAACTTCCTTTTGGAAGTGAGAGGCAAAAACCCAACATCAACACAATATCTCTAGAAAGTGCTGTATTTTCATAATTACTTTTGCATGTGTGCACAACCACTACAAGCAACAGTGGAATAGAAAGACAATATAGAGCAAATTGATTCTTTCCTTTGTTTAAATGCCTGTTTCTCATTCACTTAGCTCTGGTTTCTTTTTTATTCTGAATCCTTTGATCAGTAAAATATATTTCTACAATGACCCATTTATAAATCTACTGGGTAAATCATTTTTTTTCCAAGTGGAAAAATAGGTGAGGCTGAACCTCAAAAATTTGGTATGAGGAATTTTCCTCTACAGACTCAGTACTGGCTATTTACTTAAGCATTGAAAGGTTTTAAAAAAAAATTATTTCACTTGTAGGGATATCAGGAATAAAGTTAAAACGAGAATCTAGTCTTTTATTACAAGTCTTTAACTCGCTGGCTGAAATGTTAAAAAACAAAACAAAAACAAAACGCTGGACATATGTCACATCTACAAAATACAGCTCCATAGAATTAATCTTTTCTCTTTGTTGACAGTTTAATTCATGTGAATTATGTAAACTTTCATTCTTATACTCTTTGGGAACAGTCTCAATCATATTTCATCCAAAAAATAAGCATTTCTGAAGCAAACACATGAAAATTGTTCAGTATCATTAGACAGCTATTCCCTCTGGGCAATTTCATTCTGAAATTATTGTAAAAATTATATCAAATAGTTTCAACATGGAGCTGATGGAGAAGGGGACAGATATCCCCTAGAATAGATTTTGCCTCAATTTTGTAATTTATGCTAAACAGAACATAAATATCCCTCAAAGAATTAGATTTTCCTTTGCTTTGAAGAAAGTAAAGATTTATGGTAATTGTCTTTAATGCCTTTTGTTCGGCTGTCTGAAAAGGGGATATTTACTGCCTACTGCACTAGATGCCTGAACTGGATGATGCTGGAACACATGTGATCTCTTATTTATATTTTGAATACAAATAATATGCAAATTTAAAACTAAGAATGTATTGGCCTTCACTTTTTAAAAAAATATATTTTATTGATTTTTTTATAGAGAGGAAGAGAGAGGGATAGAGAGTTAGAAACATCGATGAGAGAGAAACATCAATCAGCTGCCTCCTGCACACTCCCTACTGGGGATGTGCCTGCAACCAAGGTACATGCCCTTGACCGGAATCGAACCTGGAACCCTTGAGTCCGCAAGCTGACGCTCTATCCGCTGAGCCAAACCGGTCAGGGCTTGGCCTTCACTTTTTATCTATTAATAATAATTTTAACAAGTTCCCAAATCCATTAGGCAGTTAAATGTATAACATTAATAATATTCACTCTCATATATGCTCCCATTTTTCTGCTGTTGATATTTAACTTTGCTTCTGCTTTGGAAATTTCTGCTTTCCTTTTGAGCTCTGTCCTCATCCATTCATCATTTATTCATTGATTTTTTCACCTTACTGTTTCCTTGTTCCCAAATTTAATAAGGAAACGAGAATAACTTTCTTTGTAGTTTCATAGTCAAGTACAATACTTACCGCACAGTGAATGCTCAGTAAATAATTATTGAGAGAAAGAGTCTATATCTTCAAAAAAAATTTTTTTACTTACAGAATTCACCCTTTATTTGTTTTGTCTTATTTATCTTGTAACTTTTATCTGTTTCCTCACTTCACCTCCAAATCCTGGAGTTTGTTTTCATGAAGATGAACAAGACCTAGGTACACTGATTTGGTCATGTGCATTTTCTTAATACAATGTAACTTATTTCATTCATCTAATAAATATTTGCAATTTCAACCCAAGATTTAATAAAATAAAATAGGATGTCTTTCTAATCTTTTATTATTTTCTTTGTTTGTTTAAGTCTTATCTGGAACAGTATATTCTCATTAGTTGGTGACTCATTAGTTGACAAGCACTTTACATTTGTTATTCCATTTAATCCTCACAATAAGATTTAAGTTAAAATATTTGCCTATGATTACATAGTTGGAACTTCAAACAAAGGTTGTCAGCTCTTTTTATTT